AGTCATTTTATTCAGAATTTTGTGTTTGTTTTCTGAATCAATTAATAACTAATACTATACAAAACATAGTATTAATAATTAATACTATACGAAACATAGTATTAATAATTAATACTATAAAAATGGCTACCATTTTTTCTCCCCTGGTCCCTCCACCTGGAGACAACCTCACGTGGGCTCTCCCTCCAGATTTGGTATAGCAAATGAGGTTGATTGACATGTTATAGCTCCTGGAATCATCTTCAAAGGACAATTTTATTTGTTTATTTAAATTTGACCAGAAAGAGAATGAGAGAAAGTGAAAAAGCAAGTTGCCAGGTCCAGGACTCAATCCGTGGTCTGCCATGTGGGTCCAGTTCCTCAAACACCACACCACCTGCCAGCCTCTAAGATCTTTTTAAGATGAGAAGCCTGAGACTCAGAGGTACAGGATATCTTGACCAAAGATACATTAGTGGGGCTGGCCCCATAGTGCAGCGGTTAACTGGTGTGTGTAGGGAGTCAGATCTCACGTGGTCTGTTGCAGTTTGAATCCCAGCCCCTATGGCTTGCAAAGCATACTGGGCATGTGCACATGCATGCCCAAAATCCTGACATGATAGAGAAGCAGAGAAAGAAGGACTAGGGCATGACTGTGCTACACTAGGGGCTGCCTTCTCTCTCTCTCTCTCTCATTTTCTCTTTCTCCCTCTCTCTGCTGAGCACACACACACTCTAGCAATTTTTTTTTAAAGACTATATTTCAAAAGGTACATTAGTTAATATGAATGGCAAGCCAGGGTATGACTGCAAATATCTATCCCTATCTCTCACATGTTTCATCACAAAATGTAAGGCCAAATCCAATGATTTGATCGTACTCTATTAATCTATGAGGCTAATGGAGAGAAAAACATTTTGCAAATACAGAGGAGTTATTATGATAACTATTGTATTTTTTATGCTAAATGGCAAGAGAAGGAAAACAAATTTGGTAACAGAGTGCACATTGAATTGTGTGGAATAAGGATGTGTCCTTAATAAGCAATTGTTTATTTCTGGCATACTACCAGCATAACAACATTGTGCTGGACCCACAAGAAGATTTTTGTAAAAATCATTAAGGTCTGGGACCAGCAGTTGGCGTAATGGCTATGTCGCTGGACTCCCACATAGTCAACGGTGGTTTGAGTCTCAGACCCGGTGGCTTAAACTCACGCTGGGCGCATGTGCCTGTGTGCTCAAGATCCCGAGAGGAGAATGGAGAAGGGATTGCCGCGTGGCCATCCCCCCAGGAGGTGATTTCTCGCTTTCTATCTTTCTTTCTCTCTCTGTCTTTCTGGAGAGCACACGTGTCCTATAGCAAAAAATTCTTAAAAAAAAAAAAAATCAGGAAGGTCTGAGACCAGCAGGTGTCATGGTGGTTGAGGTACTAGACTCCCACATGGCCGACAAAAAATCTTTAAGCCCTGGGGCCAGCATGTGGCATGGTGGTTAAAGGCGTTGGACTCCCACGTGGCCGATCATGGTTTGAGTCCTAGACCTGGTGGCTTCCTTTCTCACTTTTCTTCTCTCCTCTGTCTCTCTCTGGTCAAACTGGAAAATAATAATAAATGACATTAAAATAAAGTAATTCTTTAAAATAAAAAATTAAGCCCTTTATAAGTAAATTGCTTATGTTCCTTTATAATCTTTTTTTTTTTTTTGAGTTTGCTATAGGCCACGTGTGGTTGCAGGAGAGACAGAGAGACAAAGAAAGAAGGAAAGTGAGAAATCACTCTTTGGGGGATAGCCATGTTGCAAGCCCTTCTCCTCCATTCTCATGTGCCTGGCGTGATTTTTCAAGCTGCTAGGTCCCAGACTCCAACCACGCTGTTGGGAAGGATGTGGGATCTAGCTGTCTTAACGACTATACTACCAGGAATCCCACATGGCAGACCAAGGTTTAAATTTTGAAAAATTTAACCTTTCAGGGCACCAGATGGTGGCACATTAGTGAAATATGACACTCTGGGGGCCAGCAGGTGGTATGGTGATTAAGGCACCGGACTCCCACACAGCCAACCACGGTTTGAGT